ATATTACGTTCAGTGTTTTCATCGATCGCATGAACTTATCTTCTTTCTCACTTACTTTTTATTAAAATGTTACAATTTTGAATTTGTTAACTTTTTCCATACTTTTTCAGACAACGGACTTACCGCTGAGACCATGAATTCGAAGTTACTGGCAGAATCAATAGGTAATAGAGCAGGTGAATGATTGCCTTCTCAAAAATAACTGCTCTTATTTTGTGCTCTAATTTAGAACTTATAAAACTTACATATGCATCGTATTATTTGTATCTAAATTATATCCATAACTTACACTCAATCTGAAATTGTCACATCTCTTTCAGTATCAGATGATTTCATTTTTAGGAAATCAAAAACAATGGAGATGTATATTATCAATCACATTACTTGTCACGTATTGCCTTTTCTAAATTGTCATTTTTTTCAACGTATAATTTCGGCATAGATCACGACGAAAATGCGATTGATGAAAAACAAATTTTCCAATGAATCTGAGAAAAAAAAAGCAGCAATTAATAGGAAGTATACAACATTAAAGCAAATTGTTTTTGTACTCATTCCTTCCTATGTTCATGCTTACTACAAAAATAAGTATCATGTAGTACCGGCATAAAATTGAACTTATGAACTGTTTATCATTATACACTCATCACTCTTGACATTTTTCACCATCTATCCATATTGTTTTCCTCTTGCTACATCACCACGGTTTCTTTCATGGTAATCAGTAACTACAGTTACACATTCAACTAACATACAAACAGTGTATTTTTGTAAATAAATTATTTCACACGTTCTGTTGTAATTTTACAAATATGCTTAGTGATATGTTAAACAATACCATGTAAATCGCTTTTTATTCAGTAAATGTAAAACACTTCACCATTAATAAGAAGCAGTGGTTGCTAATCGAACAATCCATGCTTTCAGATTCTTTTCAATGTAGAAATTTCATAACAATTTTGATTCAATGAATAAATTAAATGAGCTGTCATTCGTAACATCAAAGACATCATGCGACAACAAAATTTGAGATATATTTGGATCTTATTTCGGACGTTTAAAAGTTTCTATCACCAATTGAAAATTCTCCTCCTCTGGAATAGAATTTTGTTCTTCCTGATAGAATTTTTACATCCAAATAAACCTCTGATTAATTCTAATTTGAATTTGATTGCAATAAAAATTAAAAACAATACAATTACGAGAATCAGCGGCATAAATGAGGTTTATAGGCATAGCGTTATGATTGTGGACTTCATTTACAGACCAAATAATTCAAAAATCCCGCACACCGTATGCTTAATGATATTGCCGAAAAATAGAGTGCTGCAACGGTAGAAAGTTCGTCTTATCAGTTGTAATTTTCGGTGGATGCGTTGCGTTCGGCGGCGTAACATTTGATTTGCTTGGGAGGATGAGGGTGGGGGTGGGAGCGTTAGATCGGACGGTTCGTACTTTCAGGTTTTGCCTTGAGATTAATTTTGAAAGTGGTATTGATGCAATTTATAACTCAGAAAAGAATCAAAATGAAAAGTGTATGCATTTTTGAAAAAAAAAACAAAGTTTCTAGAAGCAGAAGTCAAAAGTTATCTCGTGATTCGTCTTGTTATTTTGACACGATTACTTACAGTAGCAGCTATATCGAATGTTCACTGCACAAAATTAAGTGCTGGATTGATTACACTTACTCAACTTTATTCTGAGCAAATGTCAACACCAGTTGTCAATCTTTCGGGAAAGATCGCTCTGATTACAGGTAAGTTACCTTGAAAGGTAAAATAGCCAAGTTATAATACTTTCAAACGACTCTCTTTTCTAATTGTGGATCAAAGATCACTTTCCTAGCGGATTTGTAATTGAATCTGCTATTATGACTGGAAAATACCAATAAAAGGGAGGAGAAAAGCAATGAAACTCAACATTCGAGGGGAAGGAATGAGGAGAAGAGGAACTGAATTTTATCAACCGCTGAGTTTAAAGTTCGTTAAATTATTCCTTTTTTTTGAACTGCGGCTTTTCGACCAAAGTTCGTTTCTCAGGGTTCGGCGCGCGGTGGATATGAGATTTTACATAATGAGCACGTGATATTGCGCCGCAACATTAATGATGGAAACGTAAAGTTCAGTGTGGTTTTGAAAGTGTTCATAAAGATATTCACCGAATTATATAAAAGAAAATATGTTGATGTGATATGCTTTCAATCATTGAGGGTAACGTTGTCAAAAACGATTTCTGAAATCGAATGAAAATTTCACTGAGGATACAATGATTATTGATGCAGTCATTCCATCGATGATAAAAATTTCATTTTGACAAGAAGTAGGAATGAATAGAGAGAACTCTTTGCTGTAATCATTGTGAATGGTTGAGCATTGCTATAGTTCGAGCGAGAGAAATAGTTTTGGTGTTGTGAAGAGACATGAATATGAACTGTTGTTGATGATAGCTCATGCGAAATCTTTGATACCGAAATTAATCTTGGTCTATTCGTTATATCTGTAGATAAGATTTTTATATTGTAAATATATACACTGTTTGAATTAGTTCTGTTATGTAGATTCAGGAGAAAGGCAAAAGCATCGTACACTTATATATTTATGTTTTGAGTCTGAAGAAGGCTTTATCAAGTCTGTAAATTAGACAGAACAAAGGAAGCGTAAAAGCTATAAGTTTCATTATAAACGGCAAATAGTGTAGTTGATACTGATCTAAAATTTATTAACTTAAAGTTGTACAGAATTATTAGACGTGAAATAATGTTTCAATTGTTGTTGTTGTTATTGTGAGCAATGTTTTAGCTTTGTATGATCCTACCACTTCTATATTTTTTGGAATTCAGAACTTTAATTAGTAAATTTGACATAAATTGATTCAGGGGCCACATCTGGTATTGGCTATTCGACAGCATATCTTTTTCATCAGCTTGGGGCAACGCTTATTGTAACCGGAAGAAGTACTGAACGATTAAAAGCGCTCGAAGAACAGTTGCAAGATGGAAAGGTTATTTACTGTTAATTTTACTAAGGAGTGAGCAGTAAACATTATAATAACTATTCAAACTCGTGTAGTAAGTGTTAGATGTCCGAATTACATTAATTGAAACTAATGGATGAATTTGGTGATTCACATAAATAAAATGGTCACGTAATTATCAATAAAGGCAATAGTAATTCGAAATAAACTTTTGTACGAGGAAGCAAAACGATTTATAAAACTAAAAGAAAAAATGAGGCAGTAAAGATAAATGTGGAAGATGCTGTAAGTTCTAATCAAGTGTTCACAATAATTGTGTAATATGACGCAACTGCATTTAGTTAAAGCACATAATGGTTTATATATCGTAAAAATTTTTTATAAGCCGCGATTGAAGCACTATGCTTCGGTAGCATTGCGCTTCTTATGCAACTTATAGAAAAATTTATAGTCTTGGACTTCCAAACTTTAGGCGACCAATGCGTAGTATTACATTCTTGTTCAAAATTTTTGAAAATATTATTCTAATGCTAATCTCTCTTGACTCTTTATCGCTTAATCGTAAGTAGTGAGATTCCACCATTTACATTCAGTGAGACTGCATTGCATATAAGCCAGTAGGATTACTGCTTAAAATATGATACTTATTGCAGTTTTAGGGTCCGGTTCTGGCCATCGCTGCAGATCTTACAAAAGAAGAAGAAATCCGAGGTCTCGCTAAAATGGCTATTAACAAATTTCATACTCTGGATATTTTGGTAATGACTTTCCGTTTTGATCAACTGCATGAAAAGAAAAATCCGAATAGACTTAGTCGGCTAATTCCAGTGTCAATAAAATTGTGTAGAGTAAGGGACTGTTGCGGATTAGGCTAATTTCATGGTATTTTTAAATCAAAGGCAGACAAAAGTGCAGAACAAAGACTGTACATGGGTTTGTGGAATGAACATGCTCGTTATACTGTTTATTTTTCGCTAACAAAAATTGTTTAATTCTTTTATCTGTACTTGATTAGAATTTTAAATTGAGACTTCAGCTATTTGTTATATCAAAAAAGTGCGAAACAGGATATTATTGTTGATTCGAGTTAAAGTACACTGGAATATAAATATAGAAATGAAAATTTTATCCGTTCTTCAAAAATTTTGAAAATTTGACATTTCCATAGGAAAAATTATTTTGGCGAATTTGAAATTTCATAACTTTTGGGTTTTTTCTTATTTTATTATTTTTTCTTCGAAAACTTTTATTACATATTTGTTGATTTTATAAAAAGATAAGATGGATTTTGAGCACTGATTCTAGGTCAACAATGCCGGTATCATTGACAAGGGTACGATTGAAGATACAACACTGGAGCAGTACGACCGAATAATGTCAACGAATTTGCGCTCAATGTTTTACTTGACACAACAGCTTATTCCACAATTGATTCAATCTAAAGGTTCTATTGTGAATGTGTCCAGTGTTAACGGGATCAGATCGGTTCGTATTTCTTGATAGCTCGTCAGTGAAGGAACATATTCCTGGACTAATAATAATGTTTTTTCGACAGAATGCTAAATATTGGGATTTAAGAATAGACTAAGAATTCATCTTAAACAGAGGGTCTTTATTATTCTAGGAAAATTGAACATTTTCAACAATGTTATGTGCAACATTATTTTCCACGCTAGTTTATCGGGAGAATTTCGGCATAACTCACAGATTTAGAGTTGGACAGTTAGTTGTAGTATTAGAAAATTTAAGTAAGAAAAACGATTTATCCAAAATCAAAATTTAAATTTCCAATATGAAGTTTTTTCAGATCTCACATATTAACTGCTACTTTCCTGTTTCAGTTTCCGGGTGTGTTGGCGTACAATATATCGAAAGCTGGGGTCGATCAGTTTACACGGTGCACTGCGCTTGAATTAGCACCAAAAGGCGTACGTGTTAATTCAGTGAAGTAAGTGAATATTCTTTTTTTATTGTTGGTTATGTTTTGTTTGTGCGAAATTCTGAAGTCAACCTGTATCAATTTTAGTATTTTTAATTTAAATTGTGAACTTAATTTCAGTCCCGGTGTCACGAAAACGGAACTTCACAAACGTAGTGGTATGGATGAAATAGCTTATGAAGCGTTTATCAAGCATTCCGGAAGTACTCATGCGCTTGGTCGCGTAGGTAACCCAGATGAAGTAGCAAATGCGATAGCATTTCTGGCAAGCAGTGCATCATCATTTATCACTGGGGCATCAATTCCGATTGATGGTGGTCGCCACGCCATGTGCCCACGTTAGAGATTCTTTGCCATCATAATTTTTATTATCTGATAGCAATATCAGCTTTTCATTTACTCTATAGTCCGTAAAATGATAAAACTATAATTTTAATATCGGTGCAAACTTTAAGAACGCTTTGGATATTACTTGTTTATTTGTTTTAAGGAATTTGGGACTTATTTGCATAAAAGTTTCTTAAGTTAACATACTTTCCCAATATCCACTAATTTTTTTCTCGTCATTTTTAAGATCTTCACCAATAATTAATAAAACTGTGTAGGATGTAAACATCATCGTATTGTATCATTTAGAAATATTGTTTCACATTGCTGGAGTAGGGTTTCGAAACATTTGCTGGCCGTTTACATAAGTCGGTAACTACAATAATGGAATTCGCTCTGGAAGTTTAGAAAACTTTAGATGAAATATTCATGAACTACCCTACCACAGTTAACTTTTTTTGCAAATTGTTTTGTGATTGGTATTTGAATTTTTAAATATGTAAAACTATAACATCCAGTTTTTCAAACTGGTTAGGTGCATGGAAATTCTTTATTTGAGTAAATAAAGACTCCGCAAAATGTGATTTTGTTTCGCAGATAATGTAAGCATTGCAAAGTTACAGGCGCATGTTACGGTCAGCAAACACATTGAAAATTTGCTGGAAATTTAGGAGTCATTCGAAGAAACGACTCTTTCGTGTCAGAAAGTTCGCCTGAAAAGTTTCTTAAAATTCTCAAACTTTAAGTTTTTGAAAGTGTTCAAAGTTTTAGAAAAGGAAAATTTGTTGCAGTAAGACCAGAATCGGTGGCAGAAGGTACAACGATTGAAAATGAAAACGAATTCGTTATGGGAAATTCATATGATGATTCAGAGGAGAATGAATATATTGTTGCAAGTCGTTCAGAACCGGTAATATTTCCGATTAGACGGCAATGTGAGGATTCTATCCAACGGAGTAGTAATCGTCGGTTGATTGTTGCCAAACGTTGCAACAACGCGCGAACCGATTCGGTGTCTGCAAATGTTACAAGAAGGTTAGATAAGAGAAATGAGCCGATAATTCTTCTCTTCTGAGGCTTGTAACATGTATTGTTTGATACTTCGACAGTGGCAAATACTGTTTCGATATTATTAGCATGTGTAGAATGATGTCAAATAGCTGAGGTAGTGAAATCTGTCGATTCGAAACATTCCCAGAAACTGTTCTAGGTATTGACTTTGTTTGAACATAATTTGCTAATACGCAAAAAACATCGAACGATGCATCGGAATATTAGACTTGTTTAGAGATATATGTCGAAAAGAATCTAAATAGCTGGGAACGCATTTCAAACATGACTGTGTGTAGGCAAAATTTATGTTGACGACTTTCAGGATTATATCACCGAGACGTTATTCTCCAGGTCCAGTTGATTATAGGATGTTAAATACGTCATCTGTTGAGAAAAAGTCATGTTTTTCTCCAAACGACACTGACCAGTAAGTTAAAAACAATAGCGATTCATTATTTGCTACTTCTGAGTATTGAAATTTGTTTAATGGTTTATTCATGATGCTGACTAATAATGAATAAATAGTATCGGGATAAAACGATCCTGTCAAATCCTACCTATAGTCAGTGAGATCGAAGACACTATGTTAGTAGGAGACTTGGTCGAAATAGTTTTTTTAGTAGTTAAAGTTTCTGATCTTTAGAAAATTAATGTATTACTAAATGACATAGCACCACGGAGACACTCAACGGTTGAATATTCCTGACGATTTGAAAGATATATTTCGTATATCAGAGTCCTGAGATTAAAACATTAAAAATTTTTTCGTGATTGCATACAATGGAAAAGCCATTTTCAGAAGTTCGATGCCGACGATCGTGACAAAAGAAATAATCAGTCACGAAACTATCACCCAGCATATAATGTTACTTTTTTGCTTGTTTAAAAAATTTGGTCTGTTTAACATTGCTTTTCTGATAGAAAAATAAAAAAAGAAGTATTTGATGGGGAATCACAATTTTAAAATTTGCACACATATTTTCTTCCTCTTTTTCAGTGAACAGGACAATAATATAGCTGAGATGACCGATAGTCCTGTGTTTCGTGCAAAGTTTATCAACACGATTGCTGATGTTCCACTTGCTGTATTAATGCGTAATGGACCGTAGGTGTTTTTAGTTAATTTGTAAATCAATTTTGTGATGAATTTATAATTTTTTATAAATTAAACAGCATTTATTACGTATTCTTCACTAATTTCAAACTGTAGCTGTTAATGCATTGTTTCAGTGTATTTTCAGTTGCTTAAATTTTGATTTTCCAGGTTAGGTTTGAGTGCTTGCGACAGGCCACCTATAGTACGGCTTACGGGACGTTCGGCATCCTTCTCATTTATCGTGGATTTAACAAATCTTGACATTACAGATCTCATTTATGATGGATTAGGTATAGCTCGTGTTTTTTTGTATATTTCTATATTTTGCAAATTCGAATTTTTCAGATTCGTTATTTTTATGACATTTCATTTGTACATTAATGACACAGAGCTCCGAAAGGAAAAGATTAAAAATTCTACTTTTTTCGCTTGGTTCTAGACTTGACTCCTTGGGTTGGGTGAACTCCCACCCAAAATCAAATAAATTAAAATTTAAGATGGTTGGAGCTCACGTGGATTGGTTTCTAAGTTTTTCTTCAATAAGGACAAAACAAAATGTGCTCAGGGAAAGCATGAATATACAATTTTGCGGAAAGTTTTGATCCATCCACATACTCTACCTTCAAATTCTGTCCGAAAAGTGATTTGGCATGTGATGAAAGGCAATGAATTTTGCAGGTAATATCCATTTAATTTAGCATATATCATTTTTGCTTATTTTTTTTAAAGAAAATGTACTGATTGCAATGTAATATTTTTGACTTCCACAGAATTTTGTGAGATCAAAAAATTTTAATTGCATTTCTATAAGAACATCTCTATAAAAAAATATGATGGTAGCCGATGTAATATTCGCCTAGTTTATACTGACTAGATAATAGGTTTCAGTGTTCTGACCTAAGTTTGTATACAAATATCTTAAATAGAATTTTTAAAGTCGAGGAGAAAGGTGGATTCGGCTGTGTTTCAGTACTGTCCATATCATGAAAAGTTTTTAAGTTTCACACTACATTTCGACGTTCACTGGTATGTTAAGAGGACGTGAGAAAATTGCATATAGATTGATCTGTTAAAAAATTCCGATAGTATAATTTTTTTATCTAATTAAAGATACGCACTAATTTCCTACAATATCACCAATGATGCGGTGCTAGACAGCCGAGCTTTTGTATTGGATAACGATAAAATTGTCAAAATAGAAAGTGCAAGTGATGAATCCTCCAGAGTACAAAGAGTTGATGAGATATCTGTGCATACCGCTAATCAAAACGTCACTGTATGTATAATTTAGCTAATTTTTAGAAATCCTTTTCTTTTATTTATTTTTTTCATTAATTTGAGACTTTTCGTAATGTTTTACCTAAACATTCGTTGCTGCGTATAAGTCCATTGTTTGAATTTAAAGATTTTTTTTTTTTGTAGACTGTGTTGAGTATCTTGAATTTAAAGATTTTTTTATAGACTTTGGATGAACTAATGTGTGAAGGTGAAGAGGATGGCGATGACATCGAGTTTTATTTTGCGGGAGGAGTGGAAAGTCTCAAGCGACAAATGGAAGAAATTCCGGAATTGGATGCAGAGTCTCTATTTCTTCTTTTAAATTATATAAATTATTATCAGCCCTTATTTTAGGTGTCTCTTTTGGTTACTGTTGGAAAAAAGCTTTCTCTAATTAAGACTTGGGGCTTTTTGTGATTTTTTCCTTTTTATATGAAAAATTATTTGTATGTTATGTGCCGGTATTTAATATGAGCACTAATTGCTCATTTTCAGAGGACTCTGCATGATCACAGATGCACCGGTATTCATGCAGAAATTTGTTGCGACACTGGCAGATGCACCATTGGAATTATTGATACAAGAGGATGAGTAAGTGCTATATTTGTCTCTTTTTATAGTTTTTAGAATAGCATTGGATTTCATATTTTGCTTAACCAACATATAATTCACCTCGAACTACGTTTGAACTTGATGTATGCAAATACGTTTTCAGGTTAGATGCATCCATACCAGTATGTACATATGTCCCTAAAATCAATCTTTATGGAGCAGCAGCTTGTCTCACTTTTTTAATTGATACGAAATGTTTCCCTGTATCAGATATCAGCGCAGATAATCTTGGTAATTTAATTGCTTTCAAATTTCAGATAATGGAATTCACTTTTAAACTGGAAATTATCACCACTTTTGATAGAATATCACATGAAATTTTACTCCGTGAAACATAGCTAGCAAAGTTTAGAAAGAAGCTATTACTGGGCGTTCTATTCAATAGTATATGAGTTCTGGCATATTTTAGAAAGGGTCCTAATTCTTCGTTTCTAGGTCAGTGGAACGCTAAAGATGGACGTCGAATGAGTGTTCGTAAGTTCTACTACCGAATAAAAAGTAAACCAGACGGAGTAGAACAAGAATATTGTATAGTTCGACGACGTTACCTGCATCCTCATTGTATCCCGAATAATTCCATACGGAAAGTGATTTGGTTAATCAAAAAAGATGATGAATATTGTCGGTGAGTATTTCTTGTTCTTTAAATTGCATATTGGAATTCAAAATTTAAAATTTTTTCTTCTGATCAGCACGATGAGATTTAAAAATGATCAACAATGCAAACTTTATAATTGAAATATCTTTTTACTAAAAATATCTTATCAGATTGACACTTCCTGAACATTGAATAATTTTTTTGTATCTACATATAAGGATGAAGTAGCTAGTTTTCTGCATTTTTCATATTTTTTGATTCAAGTGGTGGATATCAAGTTTATTGAGTTTCAAAATAGCAATTCTGATCTGTACTTTTAGGTACTCATTAGTTTCATACTATATCGAAGCAGATGCTCACGTTATGCAAATACCTCATGGTAATTCACGCACTAATCAGAAAAGCTATATTCGAACGTGTCCAAGTGAAGTAAAGAAGCGTTCATGTAACATAAAGCAGGAAGATGGAATTCTTACAGATGTGCCGAACAGCTCGAGAACCATTGTGTTGCAAGAACCGGATTATAGAGTGGGTAATGAAGTAAGTTGCTTGAAATATCAGACAGCATTTTTAATTTTTACTGATGAAATCATTTTGGTGACAGCTTATTTTGAAATGTATCTTTCACTGAATGCATACTATATGGTTGAGGTGGATGTAGAAGCGGATGATGTTTCGGAGAACTCTGAGGTGGACGTTGACGGTAACACTCCGCAGGAAGGTTGCAGTCCTGTTGTTCAGGACACTGCCATATCCGACAGGTACATTATGCTAATTTTTTCATTGGCCTAGTTTATAGATTTCAATTAGCTGAAAGATTAGGAAAATGTGTAAATTCATTTTGGCCACAATTCAGAGTGGTATGAGAGTTACACCTGAAAAAAAATAACTTTTTTTCTAATTTTTCCAAATTCATGATATAGAAAAATTTATCATAAAATAATTGGTTTTAGCGAAATGGCTCATAGAATAAGTTTGGTAACAACTAGTATACCATTTAACTGTACATATATCAATGCCATAACCGAATTACCAGTTGCTTTGCTTCGACGAGTAGAAATGTTAGTTTCCCATCTTTTTTGAACCATATTTTTCGTTTTAAATATAAGAAATGATGTGCTGATGCTTAAAGTGAACGGCGCAACACATATAAGTTGATGTGCGACGAGTACCTTGATTTTTTTTTTCGGAAATAATAGAGTATGGTATTTTATTGCAGAACACCTGATATTGCATCAGTAAATTGTGCAGTGCCTCAGATTCGATTGATTGGTCAAGCTGTACAGATGTCATTCATTGTCGATACTTCACAAATTCCATATGTGGAGTGGAATTGGGATGGATTAGGTCCATCGTTGTTAATAATTTTTATCATGTGTGGTGTTGCATTCATTTACAATGGTATAAATGATTGAGTGAATATCGTTTATTTTTTAGAGAGAGTTAAATAAATGAAGAGAAAGTCAACCGAAAGTTTTTCAAATACTAAAGAAACAAATAAATTAACTGAAACGAAGCAAGTCTATTTGCTGAAAAGGCAGAAAATAAGTGTTACCTATTAATTCCAGGTGCATGGAACACATCACGCGGTAACCGTGTAACTTTGAGTAAATATTGTTATGACATAAATGACAGCAGGTGTGGCACTAAAGGATATGCCTACTGTGTTATCAAGAAAAAATATGTGCATCCGTATTCAGTACCACCCAGTGCTGTGCGGAAAGTTGTTTGGCTTATTAAGGAAGCTGATGGCGCTTATAACAGGTAAATAGAAATCCAATTTGCAGTTAATTTTTAACTTCTATTACCTCTTAAATTTATTCTTCTGTTTATTTATTTTATTTGCGTACTGCGATAAATTGATTTATCTTTTTAATTTTTTTGTTTGATTATCTTTTCCCATCATTTTAAGTAGAATAAATACGATTGTCAGGCTAGAGAAAAATTGTTTTTTTGAGCAACACTTTCCTCAACTATTTTATTCCACTGATTTGCACCATCGTATTTAACTGTGGGATTTATTTATTTACGCTCTTGACTTGAATTTTCTCTTTCACTTTTGCCAAGTTCAACTTTTTTCTGATAATGCTATTTTACTCGATGTCTTTGCAGATACATGTTGGTGACATATAAAATTGAACATGATGCCGTTGTCACAATAAAGAAAATCCAACAGCAAGTAGCATCAGAACAGCGAATTCAACGAGCATCCGTTCTTACTGATGAAACAATTTATGATCAGAAGTGAGATATTCCTTCTCATGCTAAATTAATATACATAATTTAAAAGCAATAAATAGTAAATAACATTTGGATTTGAAGAAAACAATTTTCGGGGTTAGACTTCGAATTTTATCCAAAATCCTAAACTGTTTCATATTTTGTTAAGCGAAATAAATCACGAAATTGCTCGAATAACGAAAAGTCCCGTATTCCTGAAGCAGTTTATCAATAATGTTAATGATTTACCGTTGGATAGTTTACTCGAGCCAGATCAGTAAGTTTTGTTGTTTTTTCTTTTTCTGATAGTTCATAATATGATTGTTTGCAATCACTTCATATACTCTTTAGCTGCTTCAAATAATTATTGAGTCACGATTTACTGTTATACTTGAACAACTGTACTTTTCGATTAGTGTGACCAATTTTTCTTTTTAAACAGATGTCAAGAAACTGGAATTAATAAATTTGCAGATGTCCGATGTTTAATTAGAATAGTTCATTGTCTATCATTCTTTTTATTTCCAGAATTGATATTCCAGTGTGCGATACAGTTCCTCACATAGCAGTATTACGTGAACCGACCTGTTGTCCGCTGCAGATGACATTTCTGATTGATACAGAAAAAGTAGCAATAAGTGATCTTAGCGTTGATAATTTAGGTATGTTGAATACTTCTCAGGATTCCCTGAATCATTTTTCCCCATCATTTGCAACTGAGCGATGATGTTTTGAAAAATTCCAGATGTCAAGATTTTTTCAAAGTTTCTAAATATTTCAGGGCAGTGGAATACAACACATGGCAGACGTATGACTCTTCGGAAGTTTTACTTTTCTCGTGATAGACAACGTTGTCTTGAAGGGAGTCATTATTTTACAGTCATACGGAAAACCTATGTTCATCCAAACAGTATACCTGATGGAATGGTTCGAAAAATAATATGGCAAGCCTGTACAGCTGAAGGATATGCCAGGTTTATGCGTAATTTATAACTTTATCTTTATCAATTCTATTTCTTCATCTTTAGATTCATTTGAGGATGAAAAGGGGGTGGAGGAGAAGCTGACATGAAATCACATTGAAATTAGAAGTTTAAGTTTGGAAAGTGGGAAGTGATTAGGGTATAATTGCTACTCTTTTTTCTTGAATTTAAAATAATTCAGGTACGCGTTAATTTCTTATGATATCGGTATAAACACCGTAGTTGAAGCCATACCACACGGTAATTCGAAACGCAATACTGCTGTTTATCAACGCAAAGAACCAAGCCTGATTGCTGAAATGAAACGTGAAAAAATTAAACGATTGTGAGTTTGTTGTTCTTTTCCCATTCGACTTTGCTGTACAAATACACTTCATTTTCTTTTTAAATTTTCAAATTTTATTTTTCTTAAATATCTTGGATAAAAATTGAGACATATGTTATAGAAAGTTGGAGATACAATGGTACGGCTTTTTATATTGATAACTTGAATAATTAATCGCCAAACTGAACGGATTGATATGATAAGTGACTTTGCAAATACATTTCAGGAGCGAAAAAAACTCTCTAGAATCGGAGGATGCCTTTGTAAACTTGAAGCATGCTCGATTAGGCTCTTATGTTGGTACTCCTTCAAGTGTCACACTGTATGAGGATGGCAATTATGGAGAAGTTGAGGACGCTTATCCGTTAACACATGAAGAATTGGTATTTATATCTGAATCCAAATCTGATCTTATAATTTTTTTGGAAATTTTCATTTGAAATTTTCACTTAAAACCTTTAGATGAGTCGTATGGCACTTCCCAGTTTACGGCGCTTCACACGACCTTATCATAATGACGAGCCATTCAGTGTGGTTTTCCTACTGGATCAAAACGTAGGCATTGTACAGTGTGCATCGTGTGGCGTTGATTTTTCACGGCATCCACAGCCTCCAGAAGATTTAGTTTTGGAACATGTGGAACGCTTCTGGAATCAACGAACCTGTACGTACTCCATCCATCAAATGCAAAAGAAGTATGTTTTTCTGTTATTGGTGGACTGAGATCTTCAATTTGTGTAAATTATTTATGAATAAGTAAATTTTTTTAAGAAAATATTTCATTTAACCATGTGTTATTTTGGAATGAAAAAGAATAGGAAATTATTTTTCAATATATAGCATTATTATTAATATAATTATAACTTAAGATGATATCGAGTCATTTTCGCCCTAACTTTTGGTCTTACCTTCTGGTACAAAAAGGCTCAAAATGAACTATTAACGAAGTTTTCTAAACTATCAATAGCTTTTAATTTGTCTTTCTTTCGTTTTTACTTTCTCTTATCTTTTATTATGCTATTTTAGTTTGTGTGAAAAATGTCAGCGATACATTTCGCTGTAGGTCAAGATCGAATTTTATTTTATTTTTTGTGAACTGTGTAAACAATTCTTTAAAATGAACAACGAAATTGTTTCAGATATATCCATGCAAGATTGGAATGTGTCTTAGCGCGATATGAATATTTTACAACATTAGATTTCCTTGTAATATCTGATGATGTCCGAATGCGCCTAACTAATGTCCATCAACAACATCTAAGTATTGAATTTGGTTGTTCATTTGAATAAATCAGGTTGCTATTGTTGTTCCTATTTAAAGTGGGTAGTGATTATAAAACGAAGAAATAAAAAATTTGTGCCGTCTATGATATTTGATAAATATTATAAACCAGTAATTTCTATTTTTTTAAATTCTAAGTAGAGATGAAATTGATGAAAAAAGTCGATTTTTAAGGTTATATTTAAGTCATTTTCAACCAAAATTTTCATATAATTCATGCCGAAAGTCAATTTAATTATCGCATTCAATTCTGAGCTTATATTTTGGATATCATCAACAATTATTTACGTTTGCTAGTTCATAAAAAAATTGCTTGTAGAATTTATCAGCTAATGTAAATTTTCAGTCGAAGAATAAAAAGGCAGCTATAATTGCCACAATTGGTTTTTTTTTTTTTGATATCCTTTTTGAGACAAATGTCAAAAATTATCCTTTTTATTTCCGCATTTTACAAGTTGCTTTTTTCCTTTATTTTTAGTTTGTAATATCAAATGCATTGTGCTGATACATTAAACCCAGATGTAATATTAGGGAGCTCTGTTTTTGCATGTTCCACTTTTTAAAATATATCAATCTGTAGTTCGAAACTTATGTATTGGACAGTTGGGGAATAAATTTAGTTTGTTCTTATAAATAAGATGTTTTTTATGATATGGAGAAAAGCAACTGTCATTGCTATAATTGAGATGAAATTTTGTATCATTTTTTTTATATGTTTGCATATGCTTTTAAGCAAGAAATTATCTTAATGTTTATAGAATATTTTTCATAAAAATAAAAGACTTGGTGGTTTTCAGTTCTTTTAGATTAAATCTAGTAATTTTTGATTAGTTTCATACTTCGAATACTTTTGGACAGTCATATTAACATCATGTGGTTGTCAGCTTTTCTAGAGCATAACAGCTTTTCTATCGTTGATCATAAGTTCATCACATCCATGCAGTCTTATATTTTTTATTCAAATGGTTGTTTCTTAAATCAAACTGATGTAAAATCGATTGAGGAAGAAGTTTGTTCATACCTTTTAGAAGTGGTGCAACATAAATCTTTTTAGTTCATCGTGATATTTTATTCATATTCATCTTGTGCTAATGATTCTTCAAAGTTTTTTGGCATATGTTCATGACTGATGACCAAAAGGACAAGATTTCTGGCGAAAAGAATACAGATGTAACGGAAGATGAAATGGGACCTGTTAGAATGGTTCGACCTGAAATGGTAGATATGGCACGACGTTTCATGATGATGCCAAAAATTAGACAAACACCGCTGATACAACAAAAACAGTTCTTACTTCAGAAGGGTTTACGAGATGATGAAATTAACGAGGCAATGAAAGAATTACCATTACAGCAAAATATGCGGGTGGGTAGTTTTGAAAATTAAATTCTATTGTTCGGATGTGTTATTTTACAACTTAAGAATTTCTCATTTGCGACAAGTACTGATTTGATAGGAATGTAAAAGTATGTTAGTAAATTTCTACCACTGCAAGATCATATTGCAAAACATCAGAAAGTTATTAGTAAGAAAATGAAAAAAATTGTTATTACTGATTATATCACTGTTTAAAGGATTGGAGTTCTTTTTTCTATTGTTCTTTTCCTTTTTTTTTTTAATCATAAAGTATTTTGTTTGATCAGTAATATGGCGCCATTGTAGTGAAACAAAATAGATCTATCAATATCGTATTATTAGTAGTGATGTTTGTAGTATTGCTGCTATTATCAATGATAAAGTCTACTGTCTGCTCTTCGCATTATTAAGGATGTTTTCATACATTCAAATTATGAATGTTTGATTTTCTATTTAGCTAAAATATTTAACGCCGATTTTATTCATATAATCAATTAGTTATTATTTGTAGCATATCAATAATACAGCTATGGAGCATGAAGCCACGTTTGGTTCATCGCATGATTTTTTAACTAAGCCATCGGGAATTAATATTTTGTTGCGGATAACAAAATATGCAATGATTATTACGAGTTTTTCATATACCAGCTGGCATTTGTTGCGTTCATACGTTTTACCACGTTTTTTCGATACTACGGAGCCGGTTGACGAAAGAATTGATGTGATCGAAAGGAAAGTTAGTTTCCAAATTTTTTTTTTTGTTTTCGATAAAGATAGATTAAGAAATTTCCAGATTTAGGATCAACACCTGCGACATAGCTTCATCAAAAAACATCATTGAATTGGACTAACATTATCTGATAAGCTAATAATGGCGCTTGTCGAAAACCAACTTAACTTTACTCTTAAATAAATTCAGTGCAAAATAGCTTAGTTAAGTAATGATTAGAGAACGATGAAACATTTTAGCAATTTGTTTCTGTAACATATTGGCAGAAACAAGCTTGTCATGTTATAAATATTTTTTGAAATGATTGGAAAGTTGTCCTTAGTTATGTATATCATTATAAATTTGAGCGGTAAACGAATAAATAGTCTTTCTTTTTGCATAAACAGCCGCAGTTAATTTATGAATGTTTATGTCTAAGTAATAGTAATTTGGTTGGTTACGTCGGATTTCTGCCATATCTTCAAAGAAATTAGTACCTTTGGAAAAGGAATTAAGGTAGTTAAATAGTAAAATACATATTGTAATTTGACAGTAAAAGTGATTTAAATTCGTTTGCCATGTTGGTTTTATTTTTAAAGTATTCCTCATAGATCAGTGAAATGCAAAGAATGATGGGAGATATAACGACCGAGTTGCTTCTAAAATTGCAGACGGTCATTGATAAACAAAGTATCATGGATCGCGTTACATTTCAAAGCGGTATTATTTGTAAGCTGTTGTTTGATATTCTTATACTAATTTAAAATATTCTGGACACATCCTCTCTTGGATATTGGTATTTTATTGATATCAATTTGAGCTAATGATGTATAGTTTAAAGTGTTTCACTTTTTAAAATTTAAAATTTTAAAATATTTCAGCATTTAGATTTTTTTTTATTTCCTGTTGAAGTCTTTTTGTTTGTTTTCCAGTCGATATAATTTTTATTCCATTTCCTCATTTCAAATTTATGCCTTCTATTATTTTTTACAACTACTCAGGGATGTTTTGAGGCTTTTTGCAGCATCAGCACTTGATGACCTAAAGAAAAGCGTTGAAACCCTCAGCGCAACTCTTGCGAGCAAAGAACAACAACTACCGATTCGAACAATAGCTAGAAAACGTAATGCAACAAATTCTCGTGTATTCCCACGAACTGAGGATCCAAGCGGGTATGTATCCTTTATGATCATCCTCATAACCGTTAAGAAGCATAAAAATTTTAGTCAAACTTCTGGTACTAAATCAGAATTATTCTATCAAGTCTTACTAATGTTTATATTTGTGCTGTAATCGGATTTATAAAATGATGGTATAGATAGGAAATTTGATTATTTTTGATATTTCTTCACTTCTATTTTTTTTATTATAAAATTCAAAACATCAGGTTTTGGAAAGTTGAATTAAGAAAAAATTTAAAAACTTTTAAATTTGACTTCTTTAGGTCTGATATTCCTAATAACGAACGCTCAGAAGAGGCATTGATATCAACAGAGACATCAACACCGGCAGAGGAACGTAATGGCAGTGTGCAAGTAGAGAAAAATGTTACTAACAGTGAATCTTAGATGAAATATTCGCCTTATAAATCGTCACGATTTAGTGATTATTTTTTAGTTTTGAAAAATTCTTCGAATACCTGCAATGTCCTTCGAACCATTTTCAAATATTCGAATGCGAAAAATTTTCATTTGGGATTTTTTCTGTTTGGAAATTTTTTGATTTCAAAACCAGATTGAGTGCTTTGTCAAAATTTTTTAATTTTGGTTGAAACATTTTCTAATTTTTTACGTCATGGCCATTGTAAATTAAGTTTAAAAAACTTGGGTAGTGACTACCTGGTGGTAAATTTTTAAACGAAGCAGATTTATTTCTATAAAGGGCTGGTGAAAATTACTTTCGAAATAGTTTCAGCAAAATTTGAAAATGCTTACAAGCTTATGAATTTGAAGTTTCTCTTACTTTTGAAGCCAGTTTCTCGATTGGTATCGGACTGCAAAGGGTGGCCTTAGGCAGAAATCAAACTTATTGCTTTAAACTAATAATCTGTAAGAGAGAGTGAGAAAAAAATTACTTTCAATCAAAACAGGTAGGATTTCATGATATCTACATTGGTATTCTAAAATATGTATTGTTTAAAATCTTTCAACAAATTTTTGGTATATTTATGAAGATGACAGCCATCATCAGAATTTCATTCCAAATCAAACTCTTTCACTTAGTGCCACTTCGTTAACTCTCTCATTTATTTTCTATGTAAATGTCATTATTGCCATATCGTTTGTACTTGTAATTTTCTTTTTTAAAAAATACAATAATATTTTAAATAATGCAGGCAATGGATAATACATCTTTATAGTTTTGTTTGTCATCATGATGCGATTATCCCATAAACTATCGGAAAATCACATCAGAGCTCTACTTCTAATTCACTGATTTATCGAAGGATTGATTGTTTGAAACATCATAGCAAAATGTGATTCTGCGATAGATTCTAGGAGATGGAGGAAACGAATTGAGTCACTCAAAAGTGTCATTTTAAAATTAACATTTGAAGCTCAAAAAATGACCTTAAAGGGAAGCAAAAGAACTGAACGGAATAACGGTCCATCAATAGTTTAGCCTGGTATTGTAAAATTCACATTGTTTTATAAGTACAATTTCCTAGACAGAAATCGATATAAATTTCGAAAAACTTGTTTTGAAGAAATCTTGAGACACTTAAAGTTCTGCACTTATTTTCAAAGACGAGAAGACAACATTTTGGTTGTCAAGAATTGATCATTTTATCGAAATTGTATAAATTTCGTTTTCATAAACTAAAATATATTACGAATAATTTCGACTTGAATAAGAGAGAGATTTCAATAAGAGAGGAGAGAGATTTTATTTTTTGATTTAAATAAAGATTCAAATCATTTAACTAAAAATTCAATCTTTATTCAAATCAAAAAGTAAAACCTCCCTCCTCTCTTATTGAAATCTCTTTCTTATTCAAATCAAGAAAAAAGCAAAATACTCTTAGGTAGTATTAATATTAAATCTTTCTAGCTTTTAATTTGAAAACAAAGTATTTCATTTTTATTTTTTTCACAAGCATCTCAAGTTTCATCGATTTTGCTTATACATTAATAAAATAGTGCATTATGTATTAATTATTACTAGAAATTATAATTTTTCATAGCTTTTCTGCTTATTTATAGGTTTTATTAGTTGATGACAATGAATTTAACAAGTAATGGTACTTATTGCTGCATTTAGCAAAGACATTTTTATACAACGAATCTTCAGTGTACTTCTTTCTTCATCACATTTTTTAATTAATGACAACTGATTTAAATTTTGTTAGATAATTTATAAAATAATGATCTTAATTTGCAGTATGACCAATTGCACAAATTTATTTTTCTGAGAATTTTTTTTTTGCTGAGAGATAATGTGGCTTAATTTTTTAATAATTTAATTTGACGGAAATAGCTGATGGTAATGATGATATTGATAGCAACGATAATGATGATGATGATGATGACGATCAATAGTACAAAGGGCGAGAAGTTTTCATGAAATAAAAAGGCAATTAAGATAATGATGAGATTTGTTGAGACATTTATTTTAAGCTTAAAAAGATTAATTATTCAAATATGCAAGCTCCATACTCAACCTTCATTAATATTTAATTTGAACATTTCAAGCTGCTTTCTCCATTTCGAGATTTATCTGGTTTAGAAATAAAAAATTTCCTCAAGAATTTCAGATCTGTTTCAAAACTTCCCAGTAACTAATAAATCAATTATATCAATTGTGTAATCATCGGAAATCGACACAATGAAGAAAATAAAATGTTATAATTTTTGAATAAGAAAAAATTACTAATGTCAGGAATAAGTTAGAATAATGTTATGAAAATTTTAGTTCTTATAATACTTTATCATACATCTTCTTTTTTCTTGCTTAAATTTTTCTCTTCAAGTTGTCACAGAAAATCAATCGATTTTCGAACAATATTCGAAAACTGATTAATTTTCGTGATTAAAGAAAAAATTAAAATAAGAAACGATCAAATATGAATATTTGTATAGATTTTGTCAAAAATTTATCGCTAAAGATATGTTTTGAAAGATTTTAAATTTTAAAAAATAATTGAATAAATGACATACATGCAAATTGTGCATGGAAAAAAATGAAATAGCAGAGATATATTGTTTAATTAATAAAACAAATAATTGCCGTAAATATTCTGTTATTAAACTGAATGAATCAATTTTCTTTTTCTTCATCCACTCATTATCTTATGAAAAAATCTAATCTTCCAACAAAGTTTAATAAATAATAATTATTGCTTGACAGAAAATTATATTCCAGTTTTCAATTATATTTTCTCACATAATACCGCTTTAGTTAATAGCTAAAATGAATAAAATATGATTGCATTCTTTTTAATCTCACGTCATGAAGATTTTTAATACATTTACAAAATGAAATAAATGTTTAGGTATTATAGTATATACAAAATGAAATAGATTAAATAATTGCTCGATGATCTAATTAATAGAAAAATTTTCATTGCATTCATTAAGTTAAATTTCCTCCTGAACAAATTTTTACATTTTATCCTGCTATTGATCGTATTCTTCGTAATTTTTTGTGATCGGAAATTTCATATTGTTTAAATTTCGGTTAATATTATATATATAGCAATCACTATATTATTTTATTTCATGTTTTTTAGAAAAACATACCATTTTATTAAATTTTAACCTGTTTGATTTCACATGGTTCAGAAGGAAAGTCTTTTAGTATGGCAATCTGAAATTAACAACATTTTAATCTGCTATTTTCTTTTTTGCTTCAACTTAAATAAATGAGATATAAATGTAAAACTAATATGATAATTGGAATTAATCTAACTTAACAAATGTCATCTCACTTCATAGTGACGATAGGAGGAATTAAAAAGAATAAATGTAATTTAAAGCATTGAAAAACAATGAGAGAAAATAATTCCTTCGCATAATTTGTTATAGGAAGGATGAAGGAATTGGATTAATTAATGTGCACAATTGTTGTTTTGATTTTTATTCGTTTCATATTTTTCTCTCATTTTATTTCATATAGTTATTTTGCACATTTTATTTCATTAATATTTTTTGTTAGCCTTTACTTTGTTGCTTCGTTTGTTTTCCAATTCAATTATTATTGAAATTATATAGAATTCTCTCAATAATATTTAATTATTTATGCATCAAATATGTTCAGTTACTCAAATATAAGTAAGTAGATCCATATTAATAGAAATCTCATTTTTAATGATGAAAATTTCAAAATAGAAATTAATTACCCTTATACATAACAAATGTTATGCTTTATATATAACTATTTTAAGGAATTATTAATTCTAATTTGCTTGCATTAATATTTGTATTTTGTATGATGATAATTTG